GAAGAGCTCAAAGCTCAGCTGGGACGGATGAGGGAAGACTGGATTGAGGAAGAGTGTAATCGTGTAGAGGCAGAGCTGGCCTTAAAGGAAGCAAGAAGCAAAATTAAACAACTCAAGCAGGTTATGGAAACCATGAAAAACAGCTTGGCTGAGAAAGACCAAAAAATTCGGAAATACTTCATAGACATAAACATTCAAAACAAGAAACTGGAATCTTTGCTGCAGAGCATGGAGATGGCTCAGGACAGCTCTGCGAGAGATGAGCAGTGCCTGGAGCACACGTGTGACGCAGAGGGGAAGCCTTTCGTGTGCCACGGTGCCGGACAGCCTCATCGCAGAGGACCAAGCTCTGGAGGAGGTGGCAGATAGTGGGCTACTTCTTCAGGAGGATGCTAGCGCTGACGGGGCTGATTCCTCTGAACGGAGCTTGGCCACCACAACCACCGAGTTGAGTGATGCAGCTCCCTCCAGTTCTGCTCTGAATAAGGAGATGCTTGAAAATCTCACTTCTGCTCAGGAGGAGGAGAAAAGCAGAAACGTAACGGTGGAACAGGCTGTCCAGACTGACGTGGTGCCATATAGCCTGGATGTGGAGCAGCTCATTCTAAACATCTTCAGAGCTCAAGATGCCTGTCCTCTAAGCCCACCTTCTTCACTGAAAGAACTGGGTGAATTTTCTCTGGGAAGCTTCAGTGATTCTGGGATAATGGTGGACTTAACTCCAAGTGATCCAAACTTTGCCATCCTTTTGTCTCCTATGGAGTCTCCATGCAAGAAGGTGGAGCACAGAGTTAAAGAAAGCCGTTTCATGAAAGAACTGGATTTTACAGAATCTGATGATGAGGAAGCCTTTGAGTATCTCCCTACTTTCTCTCAGACAGGAATAAAGACGAGATACTGGAGCAGCAGTCTCCTCAGAGATGTTCTGGCTGTAGCAGTCCCTGTTGTACCAACTATCATGTGGGCTTTCAGTACTCAGAGAGGAGGAACCGATCCCATCTACAATATCAGCGCATTGCTTCGTGGCTGCTGCCTGCTGGCCCTGCACTCCTTACGCCGTACGCCCTTCCACATCATAACCTAAAGTTCACTCTATGCCTGAGCACCAGCTGGCTGAGGCGGAAAGAGGGATGAGACAGAGCATAAAAGGTTCATGTATATTTAGGCAGAGCCTATCATTTTGGTTTTGACTGTTTGATTTGCACTATAATTCGGTTTGAAAACATGTTCCTTGTTTCCAGATGAAAAAGCTGAACCCTGTAGTTCCACGTAACCGGCGTTTTAATTTAAGAGTACTGCTGCCTACAGAAATAGTCCTCCTGCTCCCAAGCACTGCGTCCCTTCCCTGTGCTGGCGTCTTTCTGGTGGCAGCTCATCTGCCCAGTGAACATGACCAGGGAAAGCAAGAATGACAGCCAGCACTCCTGCGTGCTGGTTTGCTGGCTTAGGTAAAGCCCAGTTTCCCTGCCTGGTTCACTGAGCAAATGTACAAGCTCTTTGCACTGGCCCAAGGGTGGTGCGAGATGCATGCGGGACCAGATGGCCAGAGAAAGGTGGGCTGCTTCTTCAGGCAGCACTAACCAAAAACTCCTGTGGAACTACAGCGTTGAGCGAGTGACATGGAGACCTGTTCCCACGTGTACCGCAGAAAGCATGCTAGCGCTTTCCATTTGTTGTCCGAAGTGTCCGTTCAGCTCGGAGGTGAACCCCATATTCCCCAGGCAGCTTCCAGCACATCGTTCGCGCCTGTCTCGTGTGGTGCTCTTCACAACTGTGCAGTTGCTCAAGTGTGTCACTGGTCTTGTGCATATATATACGGGGATGTAACCAAATATGTACGTTGCTGGGAGTCTTGAAACATGTTACAATGAGAAGTATAGACGTGGGTACACTTTGAGTATTAATATTGTTTTAAAGTCTTAAGGTATTGGAATCTGATAGTCATTTGAGCTCTTTGAAATATTATGTAGAAATGTACTGTGTTTTAACTTATTGTTTATTTAATATCTTTATTGTAAATTACGTTCATAATCACAAGCTCAGTAAAGCATGTTAGAAACATTAAACACGTGTCGGTGTTTTGTTGTAGCAAAGCTAGAAAAACTGCCGCGTCCCAGCCGAGCTGTCGGGCACAGGCTGAGCGTCAGGAGGCACGGCATCAGGGCAGGAGGGAGCACCAGGA